CAAATGTTTCTAGTATTTTTATATTATTCTCAACATTTTTTTTACTCTCAACATTTTTATCTAGCTTTAATATTGTCTAACCAAAACTCAAAAGACTAATACTAAACATCACATATATTTGAAGTTTTCCAAATTATTAACATGTCAGTTGAAGTTGTTTTGGTATACTTATTCAAAGAATATATGGCCATAGCTCTCTGTCAGTTAATAACTGTATTAATACATCATTTTCTCCCCTCTCCTATTTACTTTTTTCTGTAAAATGGGTCTTTCCTTTCCAGTGATACTTTATGCACATCATCTGAAACACTTCATCTTCCATGCTTTCCCTTTCCTCTCATTCCTATTTTAGCTATGAATTATGCTGTAGAGTCACACATACCCAGACAGGATGTGGTAACTGGCTGTAGATACCACAGTGATAAAAGCAACTGGACAGGCACTGAACCTTGCAAGACTGTCCAATAAAATAAATCTTTGACTGCATAAAATCCTTAAAACAAGTATTTGTTAGAGTCATGGTGCCTGACTAGTGTGCTCCTTTCTGGAATGTCTTGATGGCAATGACCCTGTGTTAGTCAAGGCTACTGTTAAGTTCTCCCGTGTGCTAAACCTTATTTGTTTGCTCTGAGTTAGGACTGAAGGGTTCTTGGTGATCTGAAATCAGAGCAAGAGGACTCTGATGATGGGGTAACCTCTCTTGGGTTACCATTATCAGTAGGTACAAAAGCTATCAAGATCTACACATTGATCACTTGCTGATTCTTATTTGCTTGCATCTGCTCTTAGATGGTTTAGCTATATCAGAAAGTAATGTAAGAATGAGATCACTGAATGTCTCAAAATGCAGGAAAAACTGGATAGCTGCCTATGTGTCTCTGTTCTCAGTGAAAAAAATTGCAAACCTGGGCAGTGACACTGTTCTGTGTTCTGCCAACTTGAAAGTGGCATGTGATGGGAGAATGGGGATGTCCTTTTTTCTAACTTTTACCTTGCTAGTGAATTTCACTTGTTTTTGTGTCTTTGAGGCCATTATGTTTATTCTTCAGTTTGTCTATGACATCAAGAAGTTGTCCATGATGAACTGTTGGTCAGTATTGATTTTTATTACCTACTATGCTGCTCTCTTCCTAAAGTCACCTCTCTAAACAGCTTACCTCTAATAAAAGTATATAGGGAAATATTTATAAAGGTTTCTAAAGGCTAAGCCATATGTAGTTTTACTAGATTATTCAACTTATATGAAATGCAAGGAAGAGTGATAATGAAAATACATTTTAAACACAAGGAAATAATAATCCACATGCTGAGAAGTTATTTGCAACATATATAACTAACATTATTCCGCTAAACCAGAATCATTTTTAGAGTCTAGTAAGTCAGTAAATACAAGAGATCCAAGCAGAAAATGAGTAAATAATATGAACAGGCATTTTATAAAGATAAGTACTCATGGAAAATGAGAAATAATCATATACGTAACCATTTACATTTCAACTTAGTAATTTTATATCCATTGAAGTGCTCAAATTTGAGTATAGTAATGATATATAATAGATAACACAGTGCCCATTTTTATATATTAGAGAAAGGTTAAACATAAACATCATTAAATATGATCTAAACTGTGTCTTTTCACTTCAGTGATTATGTATATAACATGTACTAAACTATTTGTGCTTGCTCCAGGACACATAGAAAAAATGTTCAGAGCAACAATATATGAAAAATATAACCGTTTTACTGAATAGTGGCTGACTAAATTGATATCATATATCCATAATATATTCCAATCTATACCCACATGCATATTCGTGACATGTAGTAAAAGCATATTATTCATTGCAAAATTGTGAACCAAAATATCACATTAATTATAACATTTAGTAATTCTAAAGTAGTAAGATAAAAATCAAACAATTTCCTGCAGTGTTATAATCACACATCATTTTATAAGATATTAGAGAAGGAACATATTAGGTCACACAAGATTCAGTATTTGTATAATCCCAAGGTTAATAAAATCTAAGTAGAGGCTGGCTTCAAGGTTAATCATAGTTTTTACTGATTTAATTATGGAACCTTATTCATATGTACCATTTAAAGGTTTTGATGACATACGTAGAGATGTACTGTTTTTCTTGAGATTGCATTAGTGAAATATATATTATAGTTTTCTTTAATTCATCATATTTCTTGTCTTAAATCTTCCATGCATATTGGGCAGGATAAGACAACTATTCAAAATCCCAAAGGGCACAGTAAAAGCTGACTCAATACCGCTTAATAAAATTAGGACAGTTCTTAGGTGAAAGGAGAGAGTGCAAGGAAAGACAGCTTGAATTCGGGGCATTAGGTAGGTGTTCTGGAAACTTTGTACAGTGGAAACTTCCTTGAATCTATGAGAGTGACCCTAGTGAAGATTTCTAGTAATAGAGGATGCAGAGTCTGAACTGGCCATCTTTTGTCGCCAGGTTTCCAATGGTGGACATGGGTTACATTTGATTGGGCTGTTGGTGAAAGAGGAGGACCTAAGAAGATCTGTATGTTTAGGCTGATTCTAGGACAGAGGTTACCCTCTGAAAACTGACAGTGGGGCCTCATTGCTGAGGAAAAAATTCATTCATCCTGTTGAACATAGAGAGGTTGAGTTTGGAGGCTTCACATCTACATTCTAGTCTCTTTGGCATGAGAAGCTAGCTACTCTGCAGGATATGGGAAGGTTAACCTGGACAGGAACTCATCCCCTAAACCCTTCACCTACAATCTCTCCTGCCTGCAAGATATACTGTGGTAATCAAGGCATAGAACAAATGGGAGTGGCCAACCAATATCTGGTTTAGCTTCGTGCTCAGGCCATGAGAATCTATGCTTTACACTGCCAGGATGGCCAGGAACCAGAGGCAATGTAGTTTAGAGATCTAGGAGAGAACCAAATACTACTGGCAAACACAAGCAGTGAAATGATTTTGAATGTTATTCTGCTATATTTATTGATCAGATTCATTGATCATCAGAGAGGCTTTCTCAGGCCACGGATAGGACATGTACAGAGACCCACAGACAGACACTCTACACGGTGAGAGATTCTAAATTGGATGTCTCCATTGGGGCCCTAACCCTGGAGGTCAGGGAACCTCATGAAAGAGAGGGAGGGAAGACTGTAAAACTCAGATGGGATGGAGGACAGCAAGAGAACACGGCCTACTGCGTCAACTAAGCAGGACTCACACGGTCTCATAGAGACTGAAACAACATGGGGCCTGCATGCATCTACACTAGGTTGTCTGCATGCATGCTGTAATTGTTACCTTGGTGTTCTTGTGATAATGGCTAACAATGCTAGTGGTCGTCTCTGACTCTTCTTCCTCTTCTTGAGACTCTTTGCCTCATCTTCGTTTGCCTGGTTCAACATGATGTGAGGGCTTTCCTCTTGTCTTTCTCTACCTTGTTTTTTCCTGTCTGGCTGTCATCTCTTGATCTTTTCTAAAAAGTAAACAGGAAATGGATTAGGGGTACAGGGGAAATAACGAGAAACTGGAGTAGTGAAAGAAAATAAAACAAAAGTTAATTTGAAATCCCTTTTTGTGGAGGCCCAAGAATGTGAGCCTATTTCCACCTTGTATATAGGTAAGAGAGTTTGAGGTTAATCAAAGTTGTTAACAATAAGTGTGGCTACATACCTTGACCTAGGGTGTGATTACTTGGTATTTTGGACATTAAGATGGTCCATAAAGGTAGATCCTCTCCACCCTGACCCAAATGTCAGAAATTCAAGAATACTTCTGCTCCTTTTTTTGAATTAAGAGGTTTGACCTAGGGAGTGTCTGCCTTCAAGATACTAGGATGGGTTCACTGATTAACCAGGAGGATGCTTTTCTCAAGAATTAATGACTTGATGTCTTAAAGCATTGAAGCAAGTAAATGTTCTAGTTGTCCTTTTTACCATGTTAAAGCAGTCTTTTGTCTTTGCCACACTGTTGTATAGCAGTATAAAAGTGTTTGGAAAATTAAATGCAGGTGATATCCGTAGTCATTGGAATTCCCTCCTGGTACTACTATCCTATGATTCTGTTTTATTCTTTTCACTTGCATCTTCATTCTCTTAACTTTGTTTTCTAATCCCCATGCCCCATTTTGGTAAGTGATATTCTTGTCAAAGCTCGTCTCTGATACCTTTTTCCTAAAAGGCAGGGATATTTTAGTTGCTTATCAATAGTATCTATTCTTTGTCTTCTTAAAACTTTGAATGACTACTAAATTTAATAGGAATAAACTGAGAGGTACCCAGCTAGCACAGGTATGTGGTCCCTACTACACTGTGCTATAGATCACATTGAACTATTCTTAACAGGCCAATTTGTTGTTGGTTTTTTATTTTTTTTGCAGGCCATTTTAGTGATATCAATTTGAAATGTTTACAAGGCAAGATACGTCTCTCTGTTATCAAAATGCATATTTCTTTAATTATTAGGTTGACTTTCAAGTGATACAAGTATTCAGAATTAAATAACTATGAGCATTATTTTATGTCTCAGTATGCTCACAGACAAAGGCTCCATCTCCACAGGTAGCTTCCAAGCAAGCAATTTAGTAGTAAAACAGATTTTGTAAAGCTATTTTCTTATTTATTTTGCTGTTCAGTCTACTCAATGTGACTTTTAAAGTTTTGACATTTTAATCTATAGTTTGTATTCTATGCTATTAATAAGTGTTGTTTGATTTAAGAGATATCAACTGATAAGTAATCATCATGCCTAGATTTATGAACTATTTTGTATTAAGTCATTATAAGTCATATCACTCATGAACTAATAGCAATATAAAAAGATTATGTAATTTTGACTTATATCTAACATCAAAAAGGCAAAAGCTAATTGTTGGTGTAATAGCATTTTAATTATTTGAGTTAGATTTCTTATCTGTGCATTTTTTTGGAAAGGGGAAAATAAATCATATTTCTATCAAGTAGCATACTAACTCACTTATTATCTAATTAGGCATAATGGATCAGTCAAGGAGTAGAACAAAACAGAGATGAGTTGGAGGAGGTAAGGAAAAAAAGAGAGTGGTAAGTAGAGAAAGAAACATCAAATAGAATTTTATTAATTTTCTGCAAATTAGAGTGATGCTCATATTTTGTTTGGAATCATTATTTATGTGATGATGATATACTCAATTTGTATATGGATGATATACATATATTAAATAATCTTATTAGATATACACTTCTAAAACTTAATTTTCTATTCTATATCAAAAATAGTATACAATTTAGCTTATAAATAACCCAATTCAAAATATTGGCAACTGTGAGTGTCTTTTTATACTTTCATGGCTCCAACCATGCATTTTTGACATGAAAAACCAAAGATAATATCTAACATTTCAAATCTCTGATATAAACTCTCTTTGTACATATTCTATAGATAAATAAATAAATTCTCCATCATTTAGTTTTAACCTTCTCCTTTTCATGTTATATATCAATTCTATTAATGTTTCTTGAGGTTAAAACTTCAATGTGAGATTTTATTATAAAATTATGCTGCAGTATTGTATTTTCTAACTACCTTTATAATGCTTTGATATTTGAAATGACCAAAGAACTTTCTCTGATTAAGTATACAAGTGAATTCGCTTTCTGGACTAAACAGATCTAAAACAAACAATGAGTTCTTGTTTATGAAGGTTGATTGAACCATTTGATTTAAGCAATGACTCACCCATATTTTGGAAGGTGTTTATATAGCATCCTGACTATTAAATACTTGGCATGGTAATAGTCTCATTCTACCAGCTGTTCAAATTTAGCATTTGCATACGAACGTGAAAAGTGTCTATAGCTATTGTTTCTATTTTCTCATCTTTTTTCCGGGTACATACACTTTGATGGAAATAACTATCTCATTCATGAGCTGTCTAATGTCAATAACATTACTTTTCTCCATGTATGTCGACAAGGTGCCAGAATCTACTAAAAATCCTATCAACGTGTAGATCAATGACACAAAAGGTAAAGTTGATTTGGATCAAGATATAATAAATATTGAGTATAATTCAAAAACAGTTTATGTTCCATGAATTTTATAACATTTTCATATTTTACAACTGATGCTGTGGGAGTTATTTTTTCAAATAGCTAAACAGTTACTGATTGTGATGAAGAATTCTATCAATCCTCTGCTACATAACAGAGTGGGAGACAGAAATTATAGTTTTTCATTTTTTAGTATTCCAAATGTTTCTACATATTCCCATATGCACTGAAGAAATATTAATGAATATATATATATATATATATGTCAACTAATATTATATGGCTACTGAACTTTTTAAAATCCATCTGTAATCATTATAATCTTAATTATAAGTTAAGAACTATGGGAAAACATGTGGTTTAGGAATGTATAAAATTTCCCAAACATCATATCACAGTGAAATTATACTGATTACTTTCAGAACAAAGAAGACTATAAAATACACTCTAACATCAAGTACAAATGAGAAGACTCACTGTACCTCCCATAATAATTCAGGAAAAACAGAAGCGTTATACAATCAGCAGGAGTGTATGAAATAGATGCAGCTGGCAATTAGTGTTTGGATGTATTCAGTGAGCATTAGTCTCTGACTTTATGACAGTCTTAGCACAAAATGCATTACAACTTTAAACTAACTCTAATTTTTAGGATAGTTATCTAATATCTAAGCAAGAGGACAGAATATTAGGTACTTATAGAAGATAGCGCACAATCTCTACAATTCAGAGAGAAGAGCAAAAAAAGTCCAACCATATATTATCCAACTATTTGTTTCTAAAATTGAAAGTAAATGAATGTGTATAGTTTTAATAAATATCTGAGTGGTAAAAGCATATGTATCAGTTTAATCAAAGAATGTGAGAACGTTGTACTCCAGAGAGCAAAGTTCAATCAATAAATTACAAATAGATGAATGAATGAATGAATGAACAAATAAATGTTAAAATTGGAAAGTTCAAAAGAAAACTCATAACACTTTTGGCCATGTGAGTTTGTCTTGGTGGAATACCTATGCATTTATTTTAGATTAAAAAGTGGAAGGATTCTACTCTTCTGCAATGTGGATCCAGCGGATAAAACTTACATTGTCAGACGAGTGTGTTTATGTGCTACAACATCTGCCTGGCCCTTCAGAGATTTCTCAGGGATAGGAAGGCACTCTCTGTCTTTGTTAACTTGCTTTTGTCCATTGATTTTATTGACTGTCTTTCCCGTTGAAAATATTAGCTTAAGGGGCCTGGGGAAATGCTTCTGTGGTTAACAGTCTTCGGTGCTGTTGCAATATACCTGAGATTTAGAGTCTAGCACCCACTCAGTGACTCCCATTCATATGAGGCATATAAACACATGTAGAAATATTCTCATCCACATAAAGTAGATAAAATGTAGAAAAAAGCATTAGCAAAATTCATCTGTATGGTATCAGATTAAACTATCTGATATTAATATTTACCTTCCCTTTGTTTCCAGAATCGCTTTTTCCTTTTTAAAAACAATCCTTTTTATTTTACATACCAATCCCAGTTCTCTCTTGCTCCCCTCCTCCCTCTCCCCCATCTTCTCTCGAACTCTGAGTCCCCAAGAACCATCTTTGCTTCTTACTCTGCACTTGAGGAACTTCAAATAGTCCTATGTCCTCAATTATCCTCTATGAATCCAGTTCTTATATGTCCCATGAATTTCTTCTCCTGAGATCTAACCCATATTTTTGGCTGTATATCTATATTTGGAATTCTGAAACAATTCCACCTCTGGGCATCCTCAGTCCTCTTTCACCATCCTTTGAGAATAAATACCACCATTTCCCTGTGTCCACAGTAAAGCAGATTAACGTCATTCCTGGTTTCCAGTGAAGTTTGTGCTCTTTTAATCATTCCTCTGTCCTTTTGTATTATTTGTCATTGCTCTCTATATAAGCAGTGCCTATGCTCTCCTCAACTTGATTACCAGCATTCTAATCTCTGACTTAGATATACTTACATGGCTCAGATCTGTTTACAACTTTGAAACCAAATGATGTTTGAAGACAGAAATGTTAATGTTTCTGAGTTAGGATATCATAACTTATTAATATGAGATTTAAATCTTTCAAAAACTGGCATTTTTATCCATATTTTTCTAATATAATAAGACTTTTCAGTTAGATTAACCAAATTGTTTCACTATTTTAACAGTATAGGTTAAATATGTTAAATCTCTGAAGAAAAGGGGCAACCTCCTACAGTGCTGTTATTGCATACATGTTGGGTAACAAAAAAATAGATAAAGGTCTTTCACAAAAAGCTAATGACATAAAGATGTAATTTTAAACAAAACTGTTCAGATCTTTACATTGTCTTTTTACATTGATTATGTTCACTGGCCATACAATTTCAGACAAAAATCTTCATCTGAAAGATAACATGCTATCATGCATGATGTGGGTAAACCAAGATCTTTCCCATGAAGGGTGGTGACAGGTGATCAAAGGCCACAGTGCATCCCCGGTTCGATAGTAGATAGACAGATATGCCATGGAGAGAGAGCTTTGGCATAGAGTTTATTTAGTGAATTTGGGAATGGCATTAGAGTAAGGTGTTATGGAAGAGGGGAGAAGGAGAGAGAGAAGGGGGGACAGAAGAAAATAAAAGAGGAAGAAAGGGAAGGGAGAGATTCAGAAGCCGCCTCTTCAGAAGATGCAAGGACAGAGAGAAAGCAAGCAAGAGAGGAGGCAGAAGATCCCCTTGCCTTAAGGGGAAGAAGGAGATTAAGAGTGGGCACGGATTGTCTCTAAATGGATAGAGTACACAGGTGACAAGCCAGCAGATTTATTTTCACAACATTCTTTCCTTTTTCTTATAAAAAAGTGAAAAGTTTGCCTTGACGGGAAAAGGGGATGAGAGCATCAGATTCTCAAGACTGCTTGCTGCTTATTTGTGGGTATCATAGTCTTGGGGAGCCTGAGAAAGCTTGGCACTGGTCACACCCTGGGGTAGCTGACTATTTTACTCCTGTCAAGGATTTGTGGTGTTGAACTGTCCGATGTCTCTTGGACCTGATAAAGTGTTGGCAGATCAGAGGATAAAGTTAAGTTGAGAAAGAAAAAGCTTTTCTTTAGGTCTGGTAATTAATGAGGACGATGTCAAGATCAAGTAGTTGAGAGGGAGTGTGTCTGAACTGTTTAAAGTGAACCCTTCAATTCTGCTCCTTTCCGTTTGTGAAAACATAAGTTTTAGATACATGAATTGCATAAACAGCATCATATTTATGCCAGGATGACCGGTAAGTGTTTTCGCACAATGAAAAGTATCTTTAGAAAATGACCAAAGGAGCTGGGCGTAGTGGCGCACACCTTTAATCCCAGCACCCGGGAGGCATCGGCAGGTGATTTTTGTGAGTTCGAGGCCAGCCTGGTCTACAGAGCTAGTTCCAGAACAGGCTCCAAAGCTACAGAGGAACCCTGTCTCAAAAACTTGAAAAACCAAAAAAAAAAAAAAAAAAAAGACCAAAGGGAATTTAAAGTCTTGATTTTTTTTTCCAGTGGTGGTATTAGTAGTACTTTGCCAGAGTTAGATTAATAGCTTTATCAACAATTTACTGATAGTGAATGGTAGTACGAAAGGGAAGTTTGATAAATTGCATTTGTCCTCACACCTTTGTAACTCGCAGGTATACACCTTAATAACTATGTTGTAAGTACACACCTTCATAACTTGCATTTGTGTATCTTAAAACACCTTCTGGTTTGAATTTTTGTTTCTTAAAACACCTTTGATTTAAAAGATGGTAAGGAGTTATATTAAAATTTGTTGGGTGAGGTTAACCTTTTAAACTGGCAAAACTAAGCTGTCAAATTGCATTAGAGAACCTTACTGCTTTTTTTAGTCTGGAATGATATTCAATGAACAGAGCACATCAGGTTTGGGACTACTTAAAACATTCTTTAACAGTAAGTATATGTACAGATACAAGTGTATCTATACACTATATACATCTATACAGTTGAATTTACATTTCATACACATAGA